CCTCTTTCTTTCTTTCTTTTTTTCAAGAATTATTTAATTTGGGGGCCGGCAGGTGGCACAGTCGTTAGGGGTACTGGACTCCCTCATGGTCGACTGCGGTTCGAATCTTAGACCTGGTGGCTTGCTTTCTCACTTTCCCTCTCTCTCTCTCTCTCTCTGTCCCTCTCCAGTTAAATTAAAAGAAAGAGAAGAAAGAGAGAGAGAGCGAGGAAGAGAGAGAGAAAGGAAGGAAGGAAGAAAGATGGAGGGAGAGAGGAAGGGTAAAAAAGAAAGGAAAGGAGAAAGAAAGTTAAATGAAATTTTAAAATTTTAAATTAATTATTTAATTTTTATTTATTATTGTTAGTTGTTTTAAATTTGTTATAGGGCATGTGCGCTCACCAGAAGAGAGAGGGAAAGTGAAAAAGCAAGCTACCAGGTCCAGGACTTGCACTGTGGTGGACCATGTAGGAGTCCAGCACCCTAACCACTGTGCAACCTGCTGGTCTAAATAACTTTCTTTTTTTCTTCTTCTTCTTCTTTTTTTTTTTTTTTGTTTTGTTTTAGAGACGTTTTTGCTATCGGGTGCCTGGGCTCACCAGCAAGACAGAGAGACAGGAAGCAAGATGGGAAGGCCATGGCTCAATCCCTTCTCCTCCATTCTCTTCTCAGGATCTTGGGCACATGCACATGCACCTGGCATGAGTTTCAAGTCACTGGGTCTGAGACTCAAACTGCAGCTGACTACGGGGGAGTCCAATGACGCAACTATTATGTCATCTACTGGTCCCCAATAATTTGTTTTTAATTGCCAGAGGCCTGTGCACTCACCAGAGAGAGAGAAAGAGAAAGATAGAGAAGGAGAAAGCACTCCCCTCAATGGCACATGGTCACACCACAATCCTTTCTGCACTTCTCCATCCTTTGAAGATTTTAAGCATGCATGTGCATATACCTGATGTGTTTTGAGTTTTTTTTTTTTTTTTGCTATAGGGCGCGTTCACTCGCCAGACAGACAGAGAGAGACAGAGAGACAGAAAGCGAGAAATCACCCCCCAGGGGGGATGGCCACACCACAATCCCTTCTCCTCTCGGGATCTTGGGCATGCACGCACACGCGCCCGGCGTGAGTTTAAGCGACCAGGTCTAGGATTCGAACCCCGGTTGACTACGTGGGAGTCCAGCGACACAGCCATTACACTAACTGCTGCTCCCCTGATGTGGTTTTTTTGGGAGAATTATTTTATTTAGCTTTATTTATTTACTTATTGCATTTGACCAGAGAGGGACAGAGTGAGAAAGAAAGAGAGAGAGAGGGGGAAAGTGAGAAAGCAAGCCATCAGGCCTGGGACTCGAACCACAGTCAGCCATGTGGGAATCCAGCAACCTTAACCACCATGCCAC